GTGGACTAAGGAGACAGCCAAAACTAGCCACAATCGGAAGAGACAGAAACCTTAGAGAAGGAGGCTCTGTAGGTAGCAATTGAAACATCCCAGACGCAAAGTTAGAAATTGGGAAAAGGGGGAGAAAATTACAAAAACATTGCAAGGACCAGGCAGGGAAAGAATGGGAGTGAAAGGAGTTCTTACCTCCCAAAGCAGGTTGCCACCACAAGCAGATTGCATGAGGCACAGTTGCAAGGCACAGAGCAAGTGCCTGAAAAAAATAATTTATGACAGGACTGCAATATTAAAAAGGCCACAAACTTTATTTAAGACAGAAAAACCAGCAATTTTAAATTAATTGGAAGGAAGAGTCTAACAGGAGAAGAAATTTAGAAGAAACATAAGACTTTACTAAGATCAGGATACCCATAACTTAACTGTGATTGTGAGACAACAAGGTGCAGGGCTGGATGAACACAGCAGGCCAAGCAGCATCATAGGAGCAGAGAGGCTGACGTTTCGGGCCTAGACCCTTCATCAGAAAAGGGGGAGGGGAAGGGGGTTTTGAAATAAATAGGGAGAGGAGAGGATAGGTGGAGAGGAAACAAACAGGTCGAAGAGGCGGGGATGGGGCCAGGAAAGGTGAGTGTAGGTAGGGAGTTAGGAAGGGGATAGGTCAGTCCAGGGAGCACGGACAGGTCAAGGGGGCGGGATGAGGTTAGTAGGTAGGAAATGGGGGTGCGGCTTGAGGTGGGAGGAGGGGATTACTGTGGGTCTGGAGTCACATGTAAGGATGGCAGTTTCCTTCCCTAAAGGGCATTGGTGAACCAGATAAGCCTTTCTGACAATTGACAATGGATTCACGGTCATTGGTAGATTCTTAATTCCAGATATTTGTTGAATTCAAATTCCATCATCTGCCACGGTGAGATTCGAACCCCAGAAGTTATCTGGGTCTCTGGATTAACAGTCCAGCAATAATACCACTCAGCCACTGCCTCCCCACTAATAGTTGTCAGAATAAGTCATTGTACACTTTTCACCAATCCTCAAATTATTAAATTGTGCATCAACTATGTCTCAGGGTTTTCACCTCAGAGTTGCAAGGTTCTTGGTGCAAGTCTTAAGCACAATAATCAAGACTGGCACTCTGGTGCAGTACTGAGGGTGTACAGCACTGTGGGAGATGCCACCTTCCAGATGAAGTGTCAAACCAAGTCTGCATCCAGCTGCACTGTTAGTTGTTAAAGGTACCTTGGCAAAATTTCAAAGAAGATCGTGATGGAAAGGGCAGGGTTAATGTCCGTCTTTTAGCCAATATTTATTCCTCAATCAACATCGCCAAAATAGATTGTTTGGCAATTATTGCACTTCTATTTGTGTACAATATTGGCTGCTGATTTTTGTGCATTCTAACAGTGATTCTAACAAAATACTTAACTGGCTGTAAATCTCTTGGAGAAATCCAACGGTTGTGAAAATTGCAACCTTATTGAGAGTCTTCTATCCTTATGTGAAATCCCAATGACTAAAAGCCTGAACTAGCCAATTCCTCATATCTCATTTCTATTATTGAGCTCAGCAATTCTTCATGATATATATCATTAGCAGCGGTTGATTACTCATCAGACTTAATCTGATTCAGTCTATCTCATTTTATAATCAGTGTTCTCTGATCAGTATCATTGATGACAAACAGATTGAATATCAATCTGCAAATCCTTCTGAAACACCACAATGGCACTTAGAATCCCAACAGTGTATAAGCAGGCCATTCGACCGATCGAATCCACACCGCCCCTCCAATGAGCATCCCAACCAGACCCAAACCCCTGCTACTATGGGGCAATTTAGCATGGCCAATCCACCTAACCTGCACACCTAAGGAATCATGACAGAGGGAGATAGATTCCTGTGATGGAAAAAATGTTGGCATCTCCACCATCACTTTCCACAGCACCAGACTACAACATGCTTATAAAATCGTTTGTGTTCCTAGCAACTTGCACTTCCTGTGTGAACTGTATCATATCATTCCATCTCTAAATGGGGTTTATTTCAACTGATTCAGCATTGTTCATGGCTGTGTTTTTACTAATTCAGAAAATGCACTCTATTGCACAAATTTAGTTCAATTTCATCCATTAGCATGTTTCATTTACAAGATCATTGTCTTTGACTTAGCAACATATGTGTAGCTGATTTAATTTCAACTTTTCAATTGACAAATCAATTCTATACAGTAAAGCTATAGATTGTTCAAATTCACTCATCTAAATTGTACTGTACCATAGTGTCTAGATTTGGCTGTGAGTTTGGTCACTGCTGAAAGAGCATCCATCCCATCTTAGTAAGCTCATTAGACTCCATTGCTGCCTGAGGTAGTGTTGCTCATCTACTCTCAGGATCTTTCTGTGAATCTTTCTGATTTCTGTTTCTTTCCAGCACAATTTGAATAGCTTTCACCAAAGTTCTGGGATTGTAAGGAAACTGATTTCAAAGCTCCAAAGTGATGGTTTTCCACTAATCTAAAGAGATAATTGATGCAATTGTCCACAGATTCCCATGGAAGCTTAACACTTCTGACAAATGTTGCTCATTCAAGAATTTTTTTGGTAGTCAAACTGAACTAATTTTCAAAAGCTTTTAAAACCTTCTCAGAAGTATTTGTGGTTTTTAAAATATTCTTGCGATTTATGTCACCTGCAAGAAGACCCACTGAATACAATAGCATATCAGCCTAGTCAACTTCGATTTAGGGTTTAATCTGAAGCAATTCTGTTTCTTAAGAATTACTTTTCCTCTAGATGTCTCCTGTTTGACACTTCTAACCTTGAATCTGCTGGGAACTATTATTTATCTTTCTGTTTTTTCTTAATATGTTTATTTATTCTCATTATTTCAAAGGTGTTTTAAGTCTGTTGCACTTCACTGTTGTTTCTCATCTGTTATCTGTAAGTTTGTATTCTTCCATTAAATTAACACTACTTAAATTCTGTTGTCTTAAAGTCTTAAAGTCTGAAAAGTTCAATGATATAACAATGTTGTAATATTTTCTCGTAAGCTTTTAAATTTTGTACTGCAACAATACTGTGTAAAGTTCTTCCAATAAGGCTTTACATTATGTAAATAGCTAATCTGTAGTGCTTTATTGATTTTAAGTTTCACAACAATGCTATCTCTGTACTTCTTAACTGGGGCTTTAATCGATTTTTATTAATAAAGACGGTGGCTTCCTACACTTTACATGGATTTGACACCATCTGCAGCCAAAAAGGCCCTCATCCGCTTTTCGCAACCAAAACATCCTCTTGCACAATTTTTTAAATTAACTGTGACTGTGGCCTTATGACCTTCCCACCACAATCACAGTTAAGATCGAATCAGAGACAGTAGGAACTGCAGATGCTGGAGAATCCGAGACAACAAGGTGCAGGGCTGGATGAACACAGCAGGCCAAGCAGCATCATAGGAGCAGAGAGGCTGACGTTTCGGGCCTAGACCCTTCATCAGAAAAGGGGGAGGGGAAGGGGGTTTTGAAATAAATAGGGAGAGAGTGGGAGGCGGATAGAAGAGGGATAGAGGAGAGGATAGGTGGAGAGGAAACAAACAGGTCGAAGAGGCGGGGATGGGGCCAGGAAAGGAGGGGATAGGTGGGAGGAAGAACAGGTTAGGGAGGCAGGGACGAGTTGGACTGGTTTTGGGATGCGGTGGGGGGAGGGGAGATTTTGAAACTTGTGAAATCCACATTGATACCATTGGGCTGCAGGGTTCCCAAGCGGAATATGAGTTGCTGTTCCTCCAACCTTTGGGTGGCATCGTTGTGGCACTGCAGGAGGCCCAGGATGGACATGTCGTCTGAGGAATGGGAGAGGGAGTTGAAATGGTTTGTGACTGGGAGGTGCAGTTGTTTATTGCGAACCGAGCGTAGGTGTTCTGCAAAGCGGTCCCCGAGCCTCCACTTGGTTTCCCCGATGTAGAGGAGGCCACAACGGATACAGCGGATGCAGTATACCACATTGGCAGATGTGCAGGTGAATATCTGCTTGATGTGGAAAGTCTTCTTGGGGCCTGGGATGGGAGTGAGGGGGGAGGCGTAGGGGCAGGTGTAGCACTTCCTGCGGTTGCAGGGAAAAGTGCCGGGTGTGGTGGGGCTGGAGGGGAGTGTGGAGCAGACAAGGGAGTCACATAGAGAGTAGTCCCTCTGGAAAGCAGATAAGGGTGGGGAGGGAAAGATGTCTTTGGTGGTGGGGTCGGATTGCAGATGGCGGAAGTGTCGGAGGATGATGCGTTGGATCCGGAGGTTGGTGGGGTGGTACGTGAGGATGAGGGGGATTCTTTTTTGGTTCTTATTGCGTGGACAGGGTGTGAGGGATGAGTTGCGGGAAATGTGGGAGACACGGTTGAGGGCGTTCTCAACCCCCTTCCCCTCCCCCATTTCTGATGAAGGGTCTAGGCCCGAAACGTCAGCCTTTCTGCTCCTATGATGCTGCTTGGCCTGCTGTGTTCATCCAGCCCTGCACCTTGTTGTCTCGGATTCTCCAGCATCTGCAGTTCCTACTATCTCTGATTCAATTTTAACCCCACAGTAATGTGGTTGACTCTTAACTGCCCTCTGGGCAATAAATGCTGCCTAGCCAGTGATGCCCTCATCCCATGAATGAATTTTAAAAATTGCCCATTGGGCTTACAGTCCAGTGCATTTGTATGTTCTGAAAGCAACATTTTTAATACACAGAGCCATGTTCTTTGCAGACAGAAAGAACAGACCTGTCTGTCTCCTCTCCACCTATCTTCTCCTCTATCCATCTTCTATCCGCCTCCCCCTCTCTCCCTTTTTATTTCAGAACCCCCTTCCCCTCCCCCATTTCTGAAGAAGGGTCTAGGCCCGAAACGTCAGCCTTCCTGCTCCTCTGATGCTGCTTGGCCTGCTGTGTTCATCCAGCTCTACACCTTGTTATCTCAGATGAAATAAACTTAATGTGTCAACTTTCCCTTATCAAAATATATCAAAATAATGTACCTTCTTCCCACAGCACGTTCAAATTTGATCCCCAGCCCTCCAACCTACAACTCTGACTATGATTACCTTTCCTGGGAAGGTTATGCCAACGTAACTTACTTTACTCGCTTACTTCCACCTGTACCAAAGGACTGCCCAACCCCAACTGGAACTGAAGGTAAGAACAATGATGAAAGCTATTTCAGTTATTTAATCTTCAATCTGTTAAGGAAACATGGAACCATTCGCTGTGTCATTGAATCGAATGAAATTAATTTGACCTGTTACCAGAAGACAAGGAGATCCTCAACATTTCTTCTGAGAGGTACAGGAAATGAAAAAATGGGAAAGAATCTTGCAATCCTAACACATGGTTTTTGCATAGCAGTTATAGGAAGGCAATGAAAGCTCTCATTTCGCTGGGAGAAATTCTAGGCAGAGGTTTTACAATTTTTCTGTGGAGGGTGTGGGAAAGCTGGAAGAACAGGCTTTCTTTATGGTCCATCTACTGGCAGACTGAAGAACTACATTATGGGAGGCTTAGACAGTGATCTCTGTTGCTTCTTTATAGTATGGTGTGAGCTGCACTGTCACAATCAGTTTATGAATTCCACAATGTGGCTGTGACTTGCTGAAGATAATGCAATTCCAACATGAAACAAACAAAACCATATGGATAGCTCACTGTGGAAAAGGTTGCTGATTGCAAGGTGACAGATTAACAAAAGGGATTTACAACGAGGCGCAGAATACTTTAATCACACTGAAACATTATTCTCATTTTCTCTAATATATAATCTGTTCCACGCGTGCCTTGCTGTGGAGGTGATGCATTGGTTTTGCTTGTTTACATCTTGCTAACAATGCTAGTATGTTTCATGTTTTTGATTTGTGTTGTCGTTGAAGGGTTAATAATTTTGATGTTGCTACAGAAAGCTTACCATGAAAAGCTTGTAGCTGACTACAACGAGATTCTATGCAAGTGCGTATAATAGAAGAGTAATGGATAGTTTGTTATATCTATATGAATAATTAATTTTACAACTTTACAGGTTACAAGGAATTACCTGATGTAAAACTCTTGGCCGAGGAGTTTCTGTTGAGGAGAAAGTTCATTCCAGATCCTCAGGGCACAAACTTGATGTTTGCTTTCTTTGCTCAGCACTTTACTCACCAGTTCTTTAGGACAGATTTCGATAAGGGTCCAGGGTTTACAAAAGCTCTCGGCCATGGGGTAAGTAGAGATATTGATAAGGTATTAATGTATTTAAGGTCCAGTTTATATAGGGAACAACCATTTCAAGCACTTTTACAGGTTATTTTTAATTACTAGTGCCCACATGGTTAAAAATAAAGTTTCTCCCATTTAAGACTGGAATGAGGAGAATTTCTTTCTCTTTCACGTTGTCATAAGTCTATGGAATTCTATGTGGTAGGGTCATGGAAAACTTTTAACATAGAGTTCAATAGATTCTTGATTAACAAGGAAGTCAAAGGAGATAGAGGGTGACCAGGGAAATGGAGCTCAGGCCACATTCTGACCAATCATGATCTCATCAAATGATGGAGCAGACCTGAAGAGCTCAGATGTCTCACCCCACTATTAGTTTGTACGTTTGTATTTTTATTGCTTTTCCAATCTGCAATGTATTACAGGGCAATATTGTTCAAGACAGCCAATTAACATAAAACATCCTGCTTGGGTCCAGGATTTCTGCAAAAGCAGACAAGATTCCCTGCCTTGGCTGAAATGGTAGCAGAAGGATGAATCCAGACTTCCTGCTCTGATCCTTGTCCCCACCCTTTTCACAGCAGTAGAGCAGGGCCAAATTGTATTTTGAATAGTCAGACACAATTTTTGTTAGTGGGAAATCCAAAGCACAATGCATGCTTATTAGATCTATCAGGAAAAGCTTCAGAAAGACAAGATATAATTTTGGATAGGTGAGTGGAGTACCTTTAGTAGAGATCAGATACCCTTTAGGAAAGGCCTTTTGGGATTATTAACAATACACACGAATGTGCATGAAACGTGAATGAGCTCGCTGAAACTGACGTGTGAGTGTTCAAGGGTACTGACAAGGAAGCTGTCGAGAGAACTGTTGATGGATGTGACAAGGGATCTACATCAGAACATGACAAATGGGGAATACAGCCCCTCAATCCTACTCCATCATTTCATACAATCAGGGCTGATCTCATCTCAGCCGCAACTCCACTTTCCTGCCAATTCCTCATAACCCTTAACCCATTACTAAATAAAAATCTATCTCCTCCTTAAATGTATTCAGTATCCTGATGACCACCACCCTTGGGAGTAGTGAATTCCATAGATTCACAACCCTTTGAGAGAAGTAATTCCTCCGCACCTGTGTTTTATATCTGCCATCCCCTGGACTAAGACTATGACCTCCCGTTCTAGATTGCCCCTGTAAGAATTCTCAAGGAACCACTGAGAACGCGTCCAAGATTTCAAGTCATTTAACTCATGCAATTTACATATTTATAAAACTTGTCAGGAGTGTTAAAAAAAAGATCAGTGCCTACAGTTTTACACTGTCTGTTAACATAAGCCTGAGGGCTATCTCTATAGAATTAAACAACCTTTCATTGTTCTAATGGGTGCCTTCAGTTCACAGTTTGATGAATAGCGCGAAGTGCTTTTAAAATCTTTGAAGTGTGACTATGAGTACAAATGCTTGTTCTGTAAGTGATTGAAGAATGGTTATGTAATGAATCAATTTTTAATAATGACATTTTTAAAAATGTGAAGCCAAAGAAACCAGTTATGAATTTTATGTAATCTCAGCAAGGTCTCCCCATGTTAGATACTCAATGAGTTGGCATGAATGGTGAAAGGATAATAGTTGGTATGGTATGATCACGGGATGGCATGAGTTAACACTAAGTTGGCATACACAGAGGTTAAAGAGTTAAGAAGTGGGTGGAGGGACATAAGATGGTATGGGAGATACAGGAGCCAAAGGGAATGGATAGAAGGGCATAGATTGGCATGGGGATTTCACGAGCAATAGGCATTGGGTAGGGATGTGTGTGGTGGCATGGATTGGCATGGGAGTATGTGGGAGGATGAGGGCTGCAGGCCTGCTTTTTGTTCTTTTCTATTTTAACAACAGGCATACTAACATGGACTGTTACACAGCTCACCTCCACAGCCGACACCCCCTGTGACTACACCTGAATGTTTTGTGGGAAAAGCTGGGGCAACTCACAACAGCACCTCCCGTATGCATCATCCCCACACCAGCCCCTCCCAGCCTGAAATGAAAATCGCAACATCCATAGAAAGTTTTTCAGGAATTGGGCATGTAGAGCCGAAATGTTTCCTGGCTCTGTGTTCCCGATGCAAGGACAAAAAATCTGGCAGATTGTAATTACAAAGTACAGTTGATAATTTGAGAAAGATTCAAAATTGAATGAGAGACTACAAGGCATCTTCAATATGTACTTAGACCAAAGGACTATCGCTATCCATCAGTCACCTGACTCCTACAAAATACAATCGAGCATCCCAATGCAGAAAATGCCTGTTAAGCCTTTTTTCTTTTCTCTTTACCAAGAATCTCTTACTGTTTTGACAGAGTACCACTTAACTGGCACCTAAAACACAACCTCAATAACCTGACCAATTTAAAAACTGGAGCACCTCACCTGTGTGTCATGAACAACTGGACTCCAGAAACATTTTGATTTATGGTTAGAAGTTTACTCTTTCTGAAATATTTCAGGCCCAGCTTTGATTCCAGCAGAAGAATGGGGACTTCCCAAACCCCACTTCTCACTTGATGGGAGCAGCCAGGTAAAAATTTACTTGGTATATTTAGACTGTTACTGGTCTTCACCAGAATCCTGACATTAGGTCAATTCCTTATTTGACCTTTCAACCTAGGTGAGTGTTGTGACCATGACTAGGTGCCTCTCTTATTCTTCTTATAGTTTTTTTTTCAAATTAACCATTCAGTGATGTAATTATCTTCTGCTGGAAGTTGAACCCATACTTCCTGGGCCAGAGATAGGGACACTATCACTGCACCACTAGCTCCATAGTACTCTTTCGGATATTTTCTATTCGACCTGCTCAGACATGTTATTATACACGTGAGGAGCTGGTTGAGTTGATCCCACACCTTCTGGCCCAGAGGAAGGGACACTACCACTGTGTCATAAGAACTTTCTTACTCGTTTTTATATATATCTGGAAGTTTACCACACACAACTGATGGTTTTTCTCCCACCACTAAATCACATGTGCTACTTTTCATCCATTATCATCTATTATATTCTATCTATTACCAATAATCACCCATGTTTCCAATGAACCGAATTAAGTACAAAACCTAGTGAAGGCAACTGATTCCTCTTTTATTACTTTACATCCAGAAGTGCTGTCACGCACAACTGAACTTTTCTTTTCGCCATCACCAAATCGCCCGTGGTATTTTTTTCACCTATTAACCACCACCACTAAGTCAGCTGGATGTTCCAGTTGATTAATTGACATGAAAAGCCTATTAAAGGCAGTGCAAACCATCCAAGGTGATGGAAGAGGCAGGGAGAGGGGGAGGGAGGTGGGTTAAATTAAAATGAATTTTAATCTCATCTCACAAATGGAATGGGAAGACAAATCACTCTACCCCCTGCAAGCCCACCTCCATTTCCAGGCGACAAGATTATTTGTGGACTTTGTATGCATCCTTTTCAAGGACACCTGGGCATGCTGATTTCTCTTTTTTATACCTAGAAGTGCTCTTATACACAACTGAAGTGTTTACTTCCTGTCACAAAATCACTTTTTTTTTTGCGGATGATTCCAGAATTGGTGGTACAGTGCACAGTGAAGAAGATCATATAGGAGTACAACCTGATCTTGACCAACTAGGCCATTGGGCTGAGGAATGGCAGAGGGACTTTAACGCAGATAAATGTGAGGTATTGCATTTTGTTAAGGCAAACCAGGGCAGGACTTACACAGTTAATGGTAGGGCCCTGGGGAGTGTTATTCGAACAGAGAGACCTAGGGGTTCAGGTATATAGTTCCTTGAAAGTGACCTCACAGGTAGGCAGAGTGGTGAAGAAAGCATTCAGCACCACTTGCCTTTGTCAGTCAGTGCATTGGGTGCAGGGGGTGGGATGTCATGTTACGGCTCTACATGACATTGGGAAGGCCACATTTGGAGTACTGCGTATAATTCTTTTTTTTTATTCATTCACGGGATGAGGGGGTCGCTGGCTAGGCAGCATTTATTGTCCATCCCTAATTGCCCAGAGGGAAGTTAAGAATCTGTGGGTCTGGAGTCACATGTAGGCCAGACCAGGTAAAGATGGCAGCTTCCTTCCCTAAAGAACATTAGTGAACCAGATGGGATTTTATGACAATCGACAATGGATTCAAGGTCATCATTAGATGATTATTTCCAGATGTTTATTGAATTCAAATTCCACAATCTGCCGTGGCAGGATTTGAACCCAGGTGCCCAGAATGTTACCTGGATTATCTGGATTAACAGTCCAGCGATAATACAACTAGGCCCTCGCCTCCCCTAAATTCTGGTCGTACTGCTGTAGGAAGGATGTTATTATACTGGAAAGGGTGCAAAAAACATTTACAAGGATGTTAATGAGACTGGATGGTTTGAGTTATAAGGAGGGGTTGGCTAGACTGGGACTTCTTTCCCTCGAAGGCTGAGGGGTGTCTTTATAGAGGTTTATAAAATCATGAGGGGCATAGAAAAGGTGAATAGCCAAGGTCTTTCTCCCGGGGTATGGGAGTCCAAAACTAGAGGGCATAGATTTAAGGCAAGAGCGGAAAGATTTAAAAGGGACCTGAGAGGCAACTTTTTCACACAGAGGTTGGTGCATATATGGAACAAGTTGCCAGAAAAAGTAGTAGAGGCGAGTACAATTACAAATTTAAAAGAATTTGATCAGATACAAGGATAGGAAAGGTTTAGAGGGATATGGGCTAAATGCAGGAAAATGGGACTAGATTAGTTTAGGAAACCTGGTCAACATGGACGAGTTGGGCTGAATGGTCTGTTTCCGTGCTGTATGACTCTATGACTTTAAGTAAATTATCCTTGTGCCCAATTGAATATTTACATGCAAAGCCCATTATGGGCTGATACCACTTTTACTTTTATCCAGAAGTGCTATCTCACACAACTGAAAGACCTTCCCACCACCAAATCATTGTGATATTTTTGTTTGTTTTTAACTGTTAGCCACCACCAGTAATCACCTGTGCAGCCAATTAGGAGTTTACATGCAACCGATTTCTCTTTTATATCAGCAGGCTTTATTACAAACGATCCCAATATAACCAAGGGTGGAATTGACAATATGGAAGTTTAGCAAGCAAGGCTTGAGAGAAATATGCAGTTCCCCCAAAGGTTATTCACTGCCATGCACGGAGGATATTTTTCATGATATAAATAGAATCTCTGTGGACCGCTTTGTTACTTAGAAGGCTTGTTGAGCCCATTTTTTGCAACCTAATCAGATGCACCATTTCAGCAAATAGCTGTGAAAGCACAAACAATAGCTAGGAGCACTTAAAATCGACACAGGCCAAAAATAAAACCCTGAAATTTCTTGCCATATGTGCAGTGTTCCACATTGGTATTAAATCACTTTCTTTAACCATTCAGGAATTCCGTGGACCTGGAAAATTCCAGAGAATGTTTGTACCTTGTTACACAAGCATTCTGCCCTTATCCAGTTTGGTTAATTCATGATACATATTTAACATTCACTTCTGTTATCCTTGAAATACTTGCAAGTCCCTTTTGGCACTGCACATGGCAACTTAAAGAACACGCAACTTGAAACATGCAAAAGCATTCATTTAGAAATCATGTATTGTTCCACTGCTAAAAGGCAACAATATGTAAATCTACCTTGTCTAATTGCTGTGTATTCACAAATTCTTTCGGAGACTAATCGTTCTCAGATTCATTAAATGATCTTTGGGTTCATTTGAGGTCAGAAGAAACCAACAGGAAATATCTGGTGTTCTTTATTTCTATATTTACTTTTGAAATAAAAATGTGTACAACTGAAATCATAATATATATCACACTGTGATATTTGATTAGACGTTGGTAATATTACTTACGTTTAAAACTGTACAAAGTGCAAGGGTTAATACTGAATTCAAAACTTGGCTATAACTTTCACAAGGTATATAATTTCCAATCATTATTCACTAATTTGCTTAAGGAAAAGAGTATAATGAGGATTTCAGTTGGCTGCAAGTCATGTAAATACTAAGAGATAACCATGGTTAGATGAATACCTCATTTATATTGGAGTGCTGTTTCTCATTGTTTATGCTGTGAGGTGGATTGAGACACAATGACAACAACAAAACATGTGCAACTCTATCAAATCCTTTGCAACACAATTGTTTGTATGTTCATACCACAGGAATTTTACAACCAAACCTGATTCTGCCCTTGGTTTATAGGTAATGGCAGCAGATAGTTCCAAGTTGGAGATAGCAAGAACTGCAGATGCTGGAGTCAGAGACAGCACAGTGTGGAGCTGGAGGAACACAGCAGGCCAGGCAGCATCAGAGGAGCAGGAAAGCTGACATTTCAGGTCGGGACCCTTCTTCCAAAAGGTCAACTTTCTTGCTCCTCTGATGTTGCCTGGCCTGCTGTGTTCTTCCAGCTCCATACTGTGTTATCTCTAGTTCTAAGTTGGTATTTGTTCTAGTCCCTTTATTATAGCCATGCTAAGGTGCATTTTAATACTTTCTAAAATCAGCTAACTCAGCAGAAACTGGAGTTTTGATTTTACAAAGGAATGTATGAATTGGGAGCAAGGGTAGATTATTCTGCCCCTCAAGCCTGCTCTGCCATTCAGTAAGATTACGGCTAATCTGATTGTATCCTCCATTCCTACCCCAGTAACCATTGACTCTCTTGTTAGTCAAAGATCTGTATACCTCAGCTTTAGAATTATTCAATAACCCTGACTCCACCCCAGTCTAGAGAAAAGAGTTCTTCAGACCCTCAACCCTCTGGAAGAAAAAAATGTTCCTCATCTCAATCTTAACTGGAAGAGCATTGACTTTTGAAACCATGTTCCCTAGACTGGTCTGTTCCACAAGGGAAAAATATCATTTCAGCATCCCATCCTGTCAAGTCTTCTCAGGATCTATACGGCTCAATCAGATCACCTCTTATTCTTCAGATACCTCATGGAAAAGAGTCCCAGGCTGTCTAACATTTCCTAATCAGGTAATCACCCAAACCCCAGCCCCCACAATCTCAGGTATCAATGAAGGGAACCTGCTCTGAAATGCTGCTAACACATTTACATTTTTTCTTAAGTAAACAGATCAAAACAGCAGTTAGCACTCCAGATGTGTCCACACCAATCTTTTGTACAACTGTAGCAAAACATCCTTACTGTCATATTCCATTTCCATAAACAGCAACATTCCATTTCCCTATCTACTCATTTGTTGTACCTACATGCTAATGTTTTGTGATTCATGTAGCAGAATACCTGCACCCTCTCTTGATTATTTAAATAACTTGGTTTATTTTTTTTCTTCCTGCTAAAGTGGACAAGTTCACAATTTTCCACATTATAACTCAATTGTAAAATTTTTGCCCACTCCCATATCCTCTTGTAGACTCTTTATGTCGCAACCTACTTTCCTGTTCATCTTTGTGTCATCATCCAACTATGTGTTTGGTCCTTTCATCTAAGTCATTGATATAAATTGCAGATAATTGAGACACCAATATTGATCCCTGTGGCACACTTCTGCCAATGCAAATGTGACCCATTTGTAGCTACTCCCTGCAGATAACTAATCCTCTATCTATACTAATATGTTACTTCCTACACCCTGAACTTTGTTTTTACAAAATAACCTTTGATATGGCACTTTATTAAATGACTTCTTGAATTTAACAACAGTACATTCACCAGTTCCCCTTTATCTATGTTGTATTCCGCCTGTACTGTACTGTAAATTTCTTTAAAGACCTGTTTGCAAGCATGAAACCTCCTTTCTTCACTGAATCTTTCCTTATCTTTCTTTTGCAAATTATTTTAGCTAAGAATGCACAGTGCAGCACATGCATGGTTTTCCTTGGCAAAATTATCCTCTGGAACCTAACTGCAGTGTTAATGTTGATTCATATGGGAAACTACCACTTCAATTAAACTTGTTTCACTTAAAGTCATGATTTTCAGAATCACAGGCCATGACTCTAAGTAATAACAGGCTGCATCCTGAACTCTGGCACCAGGCAAGTAATAGAACTGTCTCAACTCACTCATGGCTCACTCAGAGAACTATATGACTAATCCCCTGACCTTGAAAGTTTCTGACCTTTTAGACTCTGTATTGTAATGGACAGCTAATTCACCTGCTAGACTTGGCTTTCAATAATTGTAATCTAACAGTTATATTGATCCCCAAGATGCTATTTTACATTTAAGGCGGCTATAATTTGTTTCAATGTACAAACTCATCTTCTGTCATAACAATGCTGAGAAAGTTAAATGACATGAATAATCTCCCCTTCATCATAGTTACATCATTAGACATTTCTTTGGTAGCCAATTATGGGTAAGCTATAACCATTAGCTGCAATTCAAAACAATAATTTGTGGTAAGGTTGTGTTGAACGTTTGGGAGCAGAACATGTTTCAACATGAAAACACTTGCTCATATAAGTGAGCTTTTTGCACATGTTTGAATGATATTGGTTGAAAAACACTTGCCTAAAGTTAAATTGCTTTAATATTTCCCAGGTGGATTTGAGCCATATTTATGGAGACACTCTGGAACGTCAACATCAACTGAGGCTTTTCAAAGATGGGAAACTCAAATATCAGGTAACTTAACAGGAACTTTTTTTTGAGAATATATCAAAATTCTGATCTTTGGGAGTTCTTATTACAGATTCATCACCAGATTTTTAAAAAAAAGTTAGTACATTTTGGGTAACTTAAACTATTGGAGCACCAATTTGGGAGTTGTAGCATAGGCTAAAAGCAGCTTAAATCTCTTGTGCCACTGGGTTGCTGATTTTGGAAGAAGTTAAATGGAGGGATTGGAACATCATTATTCCTCAGGGTGTTTCTGCATGTAGGTGATGGTTACTTGATGGGAATTTGATAGTTCAGAAGCAAATGCATCTGAATTGAATAATTACAGACCTAAGGGTGATAGTCCAGAAGTTTGACATCCAACACATTTCTAGGGTTGAAATGTTTTTGGAGCTGATTATTAAAGAATAAATACATCCCACCCCATCCCTGTTAGCCTACATTTCTCATAGCTAATCCACCTAACCTGCATATCTTTGGTCTTGGGAGGAAACCAGAGCACCTGGAGGAAACCTACGCAGACACAGGGAGAATGTGCAAGCTCCACACAGACAGTTTCCTGAAGGTGAATTCAAACCCAGGCCCGTAGCACTGTGAGACAGCGGTGCTAACCATTAACCCACCGTGCTGCACTATTTTGAAGAATTTTGAAGGAGATTATGGAGATAGGGAGGACTGAGGGAATGAAAAGAAGTGCAAACAAGGAAACTAACTTTTGACTGGCAGCCAATTTAGGCCAGAAAATAAAGGGTTGATAGGTCAGCAGGACAATGAAAGTTAGGACGCAGACAGCATGAAAATCTAATGCTCACAGAGAACAGAATATTGCTGAAAAAAGACACATTTGTTGAAGCTTTTTGTATATTGTACTCATAGTGGAAGAACTGCCTCCTGAACTTAAACAGCAACAATCTCTGAATAGGTTAAAGCACCAGTAGTTAAACTGACAGTTGACCTCCATATTGGAGACAAAGGGGCTAGCTAACTGAAGTACTAACTTGGTACTTTGCATGTCTTTTTAGCAAAGGAGAAGATGCTGCCAAGGCCAAAGTGAAATAGGTATAGGTAATTTACTGAATTAACTGAAAATTAAGGAAGAGGAAGTTTTAGAAAGGCAAGATGTGCTGAAAGTTACCAGGATCAGATGGAATGCATTTGAAGATGCTGAGGAAATTGCAGAGGTTTTACCCATTGTCTTTTCAGACCTCCTTAGATATGGGATTGGTGCTAGTTGAGTGAAGAATCGTTAATGTTACATTTTCATTCAAAAATGAGGTAAAGATAAATCCAGCAATTACATGCTAGTCAGTTTAACCAAGATGATAGGAAAACTTTGGAAATAATAGGCAGTGATAATATTAATTGCCATATGGACAAGTGAAAATTAAATATGGAGAGCTAGCACAAATCTGCTAAAGACAATAAAAACAGAAATTGCTGGAAAAATTCAGCACATCTGGCAGCATCTGTGGAGACAAAGCAGAGTTAACGTTTCAGGTCGAGTGACCCTTCGTCAGAAATGATAGTAGCAAGGAAAAGGTTGGTTTCTATGCAGAAGATAGGTTGGGGGTAGGGAGTAAGTGATAGGTGGAGATAGAGCCCAGAGAAAGAGAAGAACAGTTGGACAGACAAAGTAATAGATAACGGTCAGCCTTGGAGAATGAGAGCTGCTAATGGGAAATGTTATTGATTGACAATGGGTTGTATAAACCTCTTCTGGTAAATCTCTTCTGAACACTCTCTAGCTTAGTAATATCCTTCCTATAACAGGATGACCAGAACTGGACATGGTACTCCAGAAGAGACCCTGCCAACATCCTGTACAACCTCAGCCTAATGCCCCAACTCCTATACTCAAAGGTCTGAGCAATGAAGGCCAGTGTAATAAACGTCTTCTTAACCGCCCTCTCTATATGCAATGCAAACTTCAAAGAATTATGTACCTGAACCCTTAAGCCTTTCTGTTCTACAACACTACCAAAGCCCTGCTTTTATTTGTAAGTCCTACCCTTGTTTGTTTTACCAAAATGCAATATCTCGCATTTATCCAAATTAAACTCCATCTGCCAGTCTTCCCATGCATCTGATTGACCAATTGATCAATTGATTAATTTTAGATTACTTTCTTCACTGTCCACTATACCACCAATCTTGGTGTCATCCACAAACTTACTAACTATGCCTTCTATATTCCCATCTAAGCCATTTATATAAATGGCAAACAAGAGTGGACCCAGCACCGATCCCTGTGGAACACCACTTGTCACAGGCCTGCAGTCAAGGTTGGAGACAGAAGTTGATGGTAGACAGTTGTTTTTCACCCTGGAGGCCTTGTGGGCCAGTGTCACAAAGATCAATGCTGGGTCCACTGCTTTTCATCATTTCTATAAATGATTTGGATGTCAGTATAGGAGGAATAGTTAGTAGGTTTGCAGATGACACCAAAATTTGGTGGTGTAGTGGACAGTGAAGAAGTTTATCTCAGAATACAATGGGACCTTGATCAGATGGGCCAATGGGCTGAGGAGCGACAGATGGAGTTTAACTTAGATAAATGTGTGGTGTTGCATTTGGTAAGGCAAACCAGGGCAGGACTTATACAGTTAATGGTTTGGCCCTGGGGAGTGTTGCCAGACAGAGACCTAGGGGTGCAGGTGCATAGTTCCTTCCAAGTGGAGTTAGAGATAGACAGGGTGGGGAAGAAGGCATTCGGCACGCTTGTCTTCATTGGTCAGAACATTAAGTATAGGAGTTGGGATGGCATGTTGGGGCTGTACAGGACATTGGTGAGGCCACTTTTAGTGTACTGTGTACAATTCTGTCCCCCTTCTATAGGAACAATGTTGTTAAACTTGAGAGGGTGCAGAAAAGATTTGTAAGGACATTGCCGGCCTTAGAGGCTTTGAGTTATAGATAGAGGTTGAATAGGCTGGAGCTGTTTTCCCTGGGGTGTCGGAGGCTGAGGGGTGACCTTATAGAGGTTTATAAAATCATGAGGAGCATGGATAGGGTGAATAACCAATGTCTTTTTCCTGGGATGGAGGAGTCCAAAACTAGAGGGCATAGGTTTAGGGTGAGCGGGCAAAGATTTAAAAAGGACCTGAGGGGTAACTGTTTCACGCAGAGGGTGGTGCATGTATGGAACGCATTGCCAAAGGAGGTGGTGGAGGTGGGTACAATTACAACATTTAAAATTTGTTAATGAACATTTGCTTATGTTAATGAATGGGATGGGTTTAGAGAAATATGTGCCAAATGCTGGCAAGTGGAACCAGGTCAGATTGGGATGTCTGTTCGGCGCGGATGAGTTGGACCAAAGGATCTGTGTCCGTGCTGTATGACTCTATGACTCTATAAGTCATATGAACTAAAGGCCACGCAAATTAAACTAAATTAATCCAGTAATTCTGTAGTGGGTGCAGAAACAGAGAGGCCTGTAGATGTATGCATACAAGTAATTGAAGATGGTAGATATGTTAGAAAAACATTTGAAAATGTAAAATCTAGACTTTATGGTAGAGGTATGACTAAAAATGGAGGGGGTTTATGATGGACCTTTATAAAGCACCATCTCATCTGGAACATTGCATACAATTCTGAGCATTGCACCTTAGGAAGGAGGATATGAGTCTTCACGATATTTAGTAGACTGCTTCCAGGGAAGAGAAACTTCAGTTATGTGGCTAAATTGGAGAAGCTTGGGTGTTTTCTTAGATAATACTGAGAGGAGATTTGAAAGCAGTGTTCAAAATCATGAGAGGTCTTGGCAGAGAGAAACAGTTCACATTGGCAGAAGGGTCAAGAACCTAAGGACACTGATGAAAAGTAATTGACAAGAATAATCAAAAGCCGTGAAATGGTGATCAAAATCATTAGCAGGCAGTAATTGATGAGCATTTCATGGAATACACCACCTGAGAGTATAATGGTCATGGATTCCATTGCAGTCTATAAAAAGGGAATCGGATAAGACCCAGAAGGGCAGAAATTGGAGGAAAGAGTGGGACTAACTAATGTACTCTTACAGAGAGTCAAAACAGATGTAATGAGTCAATAGCCTCCTTCTATGCTGTGGCCATTCTATGATTCCACAAGCAGACCAAAATGAAGCTGTAGGGTTTGAATTGAGACATGTGAGCAGATTCTTATATGTTATTGAAACTCCCAACTATTTCCTGTGTCAGTTCTGGTCTCCATAGTTAAAGACAGCCTGAAAATCAGATAAGGCAAGCAACCAACATTAAGTTAGCAGTCAATTTTTTGGCACTATTTTATAGTCAACAGTTGGCCATCTTCCCTCGTGAAACTTACTTTGAACAGTTTGCAAAGCCGGTGATAAAGATTCACATGGAACTGAGCAGGAAAGTCAACATAGTGAACTACAGGTAGCTAACCAACTGAACCCATGACTGAGTTACCTAGTCTGTATTCAGTTTCCTTAGTTCCATGCCTCAGGGATGTTCCAACTCCCAAAGGAAGCAGCAGTATTCAGTGTGTATCACTTCAATAAATAATGTCAGTGCAATTGAGGTGGACTAACGAAAGAGCTAGGATTGTCCTGCCAGGTAACTATAGTAACTCTCTGTTGCTGTTTAATGCCAAAAAGTTTGCTTCCTGTCTGGACAATAATATTAACCACTATGACTAACATACGCACAGACATGCCAGATTTTTTTTAATGTATGAGTATCTTGGAATCAACTTTCTCCTTTGTTTTCCTCTTGAATGAAGAAACTGCTAGTGAGATCGCAGGAATGTTTGGCATTTTGCCATAGGATTTCTGAGAATGCGGTTTTATCAGCAACAAGAAGAAATTCAACGCCTGCATCATCAGTGTGCAGAAAATAAGCCAATTTTCACCGCAAGCCGAACAACATGGCTTCAGATTTTTTGACTGTGGTGCTATTATGGCCTTTATGGCATATCCTAATCAGCCTATTGAGAGGGCATTTCTGTGTCCCTTCAGACATTAGTGATCTAAGTTGTAGGCCTCAGTCACTGCTTAAGCCTGACTGTTGTGATGCACAGCTTCTCCAACATGCTCAAGTGAATGAGCCTGTCACAGTGCCCTATGAAAGGAGGAACACATGGCACCTAATGCTCTGGGGTAGAGTTGAGGATTACCAGCCATGGTCTTATTGAATGGTAGGGCTGACCCAATGGGCTGAGTGGCCTATCTCTGCTCCCACATCTTATGGTCACTCTTTCCTCTATCTTCTCCACTGCAGTAACCATTACCGATAACTCTGGACTCCTTTCACTGCTGTCGATAGTTCAAAACCATTTCCTCCATTAAGCTTTCTAAAATTAGTGCATGTAGCTGAAGTAGTATTGTCAATAGCTACCGCATATAGTTACTGATTTCTATTGAATAATGCCCATGTGCATGGCTGTAAAAGAACAGATTAAACTTTGTTGAATTCAGGTACTTATCCAGCTGATCAAAGCAATGTTAAAAACACAGATAATTTCTGTATTTGGTTCTCCTGGATCTATTTATAACACACATTAGCATAGCACAGATCACTGTTTAAATGGATGATAGAGGCACAAATCCTCAATGTATTTATAAAGACACTTAGAGAACCGATAGTATCGTGGATCACTAGCTAGGAAGGTGGATAGCTGCTTTTAAGGTAGAATAGATAGGATGGGTTGAATGGTCGCATTCTGTTCTGTGAATCGTTCCATTATTTTTCAATCATTTTGCTTGAAAACTGTATCCCATAAGAAAACCCGTCAGCTTTTGGACAATACAAAATACAGAGCATTTCATTTTGTTCTGTTTCAATTTTTGATATCATTTTAAAAATTGAATCAACCCTTAACATTAACTCCTCAGTCTACAGATGAACCAGTGACCACAGAATATAATTGGCACCCATTCACCACCTTAAATCTTCACTGTCTCCACCATTGACACCCACTGGTAGCGATGTGTACCATCTATAAGATACAGGACTGCAATTCACCCAGGATCATCAGACAGCTTCTTCTATACCCATGACCTCTACCACCTAGAGGGGCAAGAGCAACAGATGCATGGGAATACCATCACCAGCTCCCTTCCAAGCCACACAACATCCTGATTTAGAAATATATTGCTGTTCCTTCACTGCATCAAAATCTGAGGAACTCCTTTCCTATTATCTTTGCAGGTGGTGACACACCACATGGCCTGCAACAGTTCAAAAAGGCAACTCACCACCAACTTCTTCAGGATATTTAAGGATTATACTAAATGTTATCCTAGCTAGCAACTTCCACGTGCTACAAATGAATAAATAAGAAGCAAAATTGTTTGTTAGGAAAGGTATACATGTATGTGTTCAGATAACTGAATCAATTGGCTTGTAGGTATTAAAATGAATGATTTAAGTGAAGATATTGCATGTTTTCACTTAGCCTGTTTTATGCCAGCATAAAATTCACCATTGTGCCTGGAATGGAAGTGATGCAGATCCAGATGTTGTGGCTCACACACTGTCAATCTAAGTGACTCCGAAATTCACACCTGGCAAGGTTTATGGACTTACTGTTGGGAATGTAATGCAGTCAGACAGCTGCACAAAGGGTCATAGGGTCATAGAGATGTACCCGTGCCGACCAGATATCCGAAATAAATCTAGTCCCATTTTCCAGCATTTGGCCCAAGTCCATCTAAACCCTTCCTATTCATATACCCACCCAGATGCCTTTTAAATGTTGTAATCGTACCAGCCTCCACCACTTCCTCTGGCAGCACATTCCATACACGCACCACCCTCTGTGTGAAAAAGTTGCCCCTGAGGTCCCTTTTAAATCTGTCCCCTCTCACCTTAAATCTATGGTCTCTAGTTTGGACTCCCCCACCCTGGGGAAAAGACCTTGTCATCATAGAATATGAGTTCCCTGATTGGGGCTGTTAATTTAGTCCAATCATGGAGCCCTGGCTGACACATAAAAAGGGTGAGTGTCAGAGATACCTGACTCTGAATGAGGCAGTACTAAAGTGAAGGACGGTTCATGTGTAAATAAAGGGTGACTTGTTGACAGGATCCAGCCTTTGTGGAGTTATTTCACTTACAACATGTACGATCCAGAGAAAAATTTTATAGTTTTTCAAAACTGAAACATACGGCTCTCAGACTGGTATTGCACTGCATTATTATAAATATCAGGCAGCAATTGAACCTGACAACACCATTTTTATCTTGTGGATTCTGTTACAAATATTGCACTGTATCAAATAGTTCCCATAAATACAGGAAAATATGACTGAAAACTCTTATTCCTGACAAAGTATCAAATATGTTTTCAAGGTAGCATACTATACTTAAACTCATGCTCCAAAGTATGCATCCGACAATATCATTGTCACACACATTGCCTTCAGAATCCATCATGAAATATGTATGATGTACTTTGAAAATGGTATTTTTCTTTCCTTCTTATTCAGTAGTGCATATAGCTGCGTAAATGCAGCTAAAGTAATTTAACTAAAGGAATAAAAGGAGAAATGGTTAATTATTTGATTTGCATTAAGGTAGTGAATGGAGAGGTCTTACTTCCATCCACAAATGATGTACCCATCAGTATGAAATATCCTCATACTTTATCAGTGGAGAAATGCTTTGCCATTGGCAATGATTTATTCGGCTTGGTACCTGGACTAATGATGTATGCCACCATCTGGCTTCGAGAACACAACCGAGTCTGTGATATCCTGAAAGAGGAGCATCCAACTTGGAATGATGAGCAGCTTTTCCAAACGGCCAGACTCATACTTACAGGTAGGACCGTCATCTTTTTTAAAGGTTTCCTTTCTTTCTTTTGACAAGTGTTTCCTTGACCATTTTCTCTCACTAGATTTAGCCAATCACTTTATCATTATTAGGTTGCAGGAAATGAAATGGCACAGTGGGCTAGTTGTACTTCTCCTTGTTTGGTAGTACAAAATTTGAATATTGCTGAAAAAAATGATATATTTTGTTGAAGCTTTTCATCTCGTGCTCATATGAACATGGGAACATACAAAATTAGTGTAGAAATAGATCATTTGGCTCTGTGAAATGCTCTTCCATTCAATATGATCATGGCTGACCTCTTTGAGTTTCAAATTGCATATTCCCATCTATTGCTGATATTTTTTGATTCCTTTGCTAAACAAGAATCCATACACCTCTGTCTTAAAAACATTCAGTGACCTCCATCTTCACCACTGTCTGAGGCAGAGGTCAAAAGTCATACAACGCCCTGAGAGAAAAAATATTCTCCTCATCTCCATCTGATAGGGTGACCCCTAGTGCCCCTAGTTCTGGACTGACTTACAGGATGGAGCATCATTTCCACATTCACTTTATCAAGACCATTCAGGATGTTATACATTTCAATCAAGATTATTCACAAGAAGTGAAAGGAAATCACCATTTTTAGAGGAGAGTATAGTGTGTTGACGACTGGTAGTTGCACAGGGCAAACTAAAAGAACATGTATGCAGATGTATCTGTTGCAACTCAACATAATAGGTAACAGCCATTCTGTGGTTCATTCTGTGCTTTGACCAATCAGTGACAAGCTATATGGTTTAAAATTTAAACAAAGCTTGACAGTTATCTGTCAATTAGCATTAACTGGAGCTTTCCCATCACAACACCTCTACCAATCAGAGTCCACTTGCCACTTTTTCTTATACAGAATAAACATTGTTTTCCTTTTACTTTAGTATCTTTAGTCACTTGTGAATTCAAGTAGCTTTGACAAAATGTATCTTTTTCTTTCAAATATGTTGTGCTGTGACAAATGTAAGCTTCTCCCAAGAGCAATACTTAAAAGTTTCAATTCAAGCATGGATCATAGTCTTGTTACCTTTTGATAGAAAAAATCAAAACATGCTGTGGATGCTTTGGAGAGGGTACATAAAAGGTTTACCAGGATGTTGCCTGGTATGGGGGATTTTGGCTATGAAGAAATGTTGGATAGACTGGGTTTGTTTCCACTGGAACGCAGGAGGTTTAGGGGCAATCTGATAGAAGTTTATAAGATTGTAAATGGCATGGATAGAGTGGAAAGTATGAGGCTTTTTCCCAGGTTGGAGGTGTCTATTACTAGGGGACACGTTGAAGGTGCAGGGGGGATGTTTAAAAGAGATTTGCGAGGCAAGTCTTTCACACTAAGGGTGGTGAGTGCCTAGAACACGCTGCCTGAGGAGTTGGTGGAAGCAGAGACAATAGCAGTATTCAAGAAGCACCTGGACGAATACATGGATAGGAAGGGAATAGAGATATATGGATCCTGTAAGTGAAGACAGTTTTAGTATGGAAGGCAAAATGTGTCAGCGCAGGCTTGGAGGGCCAAGGGCCTGTTCCTATGCTGTATTGTTCTTTGAGTGAAGACAAATGAGTAATAAGTTGTTTGGAATAATTAAATGAGTATGGCAATAGAAGTAAAACATTGTTGCAACAGTAATAACAACTTGTATTTACATGGCACCTTCAACATAGGAAAACATCCTAAAGCGTTTCAAAGACTGAGCATGAAACTAAATAAAGTAACTTTAGGAGAAATGGCCTCAACAGATGAGGGAGAGGAGGAGTTGCTGGGGAATGGAGGTTGGTAATGGTCATAGAGTGATAGGATCAGAGAATATGGGGGAGGTTTCAAGGCTGGAGGAAACTACAGAGGTACAAAATGTCACAGTCATCAAAAGGGCAATGAGAATTTCCCTGATCTTGCTAAAATTCTCATAGGCAGCTAGTGCTCTAACTTACTTATTTTGTTTTCTATCCATTTACACCAATTTCATTTGACACCAAAAGTGAAACGCAAAAGCATTTGCATGTCAAATTAGAAAAACAGTTGAGCTCAAGGCTATGAAATTGTAATTAATTATTAACAACAATGAGAGTTAACAATGTGAAGTACCTGGAACATGACCAATTAAAAGTATGATTTTGAGATTTTACAATTGTTTGTTTCTCTTCTTCATAGGGGAAACTATCAAAATAGTTATTGAGGACTATGTGCAACACCTGAGTGGTTATTATTTCAAGATGACATTCAACCCAGAACTTCTGTTTGGCGAGCATTTTCAATACAGAAACCGGATTGCAGTTGAGTTTGACCATCTCTACCATTGGCATCCACTAATGCCTGACAGCTTCATTATAAAAGGCCAAGAATTTACCTATGACAACTTTATTTTCAATACCGATATCCTGTTGAACTTTGGAGTGGAAGCTTTAGTAGAATCGTTTGCAAAACAAAGAGCAGGACGGGTAAAAATGTCTTTTATTAGAAGTGATTAAACAATAATACACTTAGCATGTGGTTTACTGAACTGGATATAAACTTTGATTCATTACGCAGATGAGTCAACTTATTTAGCACTGAGGTTGACACATTAGTAATTATATTGTCCATAATTCTCCATTTAGTGGCCAAAGATGGAATGCATTATACAGATGGAACTCAGCATATCTCCTCCAATACTATTTCTATATTGTTCATGGTTGTGGGCAAATAAATAGAAATTAAACATTAAAAGAGTCATCTTGTCTGGGCTAGATGGATACAAATAAATAACATTAAAATAGTGCAGCAGTTCATTCCCAAGATTTGTGAACAGATTTCTTATAAAACCACCAAGTTCTAAACACATCTCTGACACAATACTCAATGTTTCTGTCTGGAGCAAGCATTCAGCAAGGACATGCTGCTGTTGGATGCTGTGTCAAAATTAGGTTAGGTTTTACACTTAATATGGAGCAAATGCAGAACTGTCAGCAGTTTATTCCTAAAGCGCTTGACAGAACCATCATATACATTTTCCAATAAAGCTGTTGACTTGTCAGTACCTGCAATGTGTTTGTTTGTACTTAGAATGCAGGCTCACCGACTCCAAAGAACATCCAGTGTGTCCAGTTTCAAATATACGCCCACCTTCTTCCATTCGTTCATCTCATCCACATTGCGGTTGCAACTGAAATATGTCTCTTTGTTTACCTAACAACATGTTTTCATTTGGAGACTTGGCGGACCATTTGTACAGATGGCTTATTCCAAGTTTCAATTTCTTCCTTCCTGATTGGATCAAGGTGTCTGTGCTTTTTTAAGCAAAATAAAATTTTACAAAATAGATGATGAAATGATGAATAATTACTTATCAAAGTAGAACTTGTTTCCAGCCAATAATAAGATCTAAACACTAATGGAAATTCACCATCATTTCTCTAACACATTAACTGAACAATCTAAATATACACACAAAAACTGAATGCGTTTTTGCAATGTCCTTGTATCATGTGCTTTCTCAAAGCACCATAGCTGAAAGGGCTGAATGGCCTCCTGCTCTTATTTCTTACATTCTTATGCTTGTTACAAAATTGTCAATTTACAAACGTTTTGTTTTACATAGAAAGCAATCTAAATAATATCAAAAACGAGTGTGGATCTATTACAAATTGGTAATGTTGTTATTGTTACAGATTGGTGGAGGGAAAAATATCAACAAAAATATTCTACATGTGGCGATTGGTGTCATTGAACATGGAAGACAGTTAAGACTTCAACCATTTAATCAGTATCGGAAGTGGTTCGGTCTGACTCCCTATAAATCTTTCCAGGAGTTAACCGGTAAGGATCTAAAGAATGGTTTGCTGAGTTCAAAATGACTTTTCCCAGTCCTATGGATGTGGGGCTGAAGTGGTGGGGGCGTAAGATAATAGAGGGATCTATGTTGGGCCAGCTGTCTGCTCAGTAGGAGTGGGCAACCAATCTCCAATTCCAATGAAGATCCTCCTTAGGAATGTTTGAGACCCCAGAGTGGTCCCTACACACTGTGTGAAGGCTGCCATTTCAATCACGGTGACCACCAGCAACAAACCACGCCTCAATTTCAGGCAACATGCATGAAAGACTGTAATCACATCCAGCAATAACATGTGGAGGGTCTTCCCTTCACCCTGATGGCCCAACCTGTTTTGGGTTGTCTTTGTTGGTTTGGTGTCTACGTAGGCAACAAAGAGTACCTCCATACCGACGTACCCTCAAGACATCTGGCCTACCTCAGCAGCATATAACCACTTCAGCCTGATATGGATGCTGGCCTTTCAGTTGGGCCTCCAGCCTCATCAGCCAGACTGCAACCATGGAGACGGTCAGTTAGGACTCTCAGGGGTCTGTCCTCAGAAAGTGTAGCCTGTAATTTCCAGGTTTGTTGGGGAAATGTAGCTAAGAAACAAAAGTAATGTAATCGTCCAAAGGTTGGTGAGTTTGGATCAGGTACAAAGTTAAATTATTTCACATCAGCTGCTAACCCAGCTAGGTGTAGGTTCAATGGAGATGAATCAGGGTTGGGGTTTGGGTGATGGGTTAGATGAATCATTGATGGGATGGGAACTGAAATGTATTAAGAAGGCAGCGTGCCTCCATTTTAACAGTTTCTCTCTTTATCCAAAATCAGTCAAGGTTCCCAGTGCTCTGGAGGCAAGAAGGGCAACCACGCTGCCCTTAGGCCATGAGAAATAGAAGTATTTACTCCCAACAAACTAACCACTGAACCTGCCATGAGATCCCCCAGTTCCCATCCCATACCCCAACAACAACCTCCACAACTTATTGTTATTCCATCCACCCCATGATCACCCCATGACCTCTTCTACACACCCCTGCCCTGCTTCCCAACACCAATCTCCAATTCCATAGCATATCAAACAATCCCCTCTAATCTGAAATCTAGCTGCTTTTGAGTCATAGAGTCATAGAGATATGCAGCATGGAAACAGACCTTTCGGTCCAACCAGATATCATAAATTGTTATCCATGCCAACCAGATATCATAAATTAGTCCCATTTGCCAGCATTTGGTCCATATCCCTCAAAACCCTTCCTATTCAAATACCCATCTAGATGCCTTTTGAATGTTGTAATTGTACCAGCCTCCACCACTTCCCCTGGCAGCTCATTCCATGAAAAAGTTGCCCCTTAGATCCTTTTTAAATCTTTCCTCTCTCACCTTAGACCTATGCCCTCTAGTTTTGGACTCCCCCACCCTGGGGAAAAGACCTTGTCTATTTACCTTAGACATGCCCCTCATGATTTTATAAACCTCTATGAAGTCACCCCTTTGCCTCCGACTCTCCAGGGAAAATAGCCTTAACCTAATCAGCCTCTCCCTATAGCTCAAACCCTCCGACCCTGGCAACATCCTTGTAAATCTTTTCTGGAGCCTTTCAAGTCTCACAACATCCGTCCTGTAGCAGGGAGACCAGAACGGCACACAGTATTCCAAAAGTGGCCTAACCAACATCCTGTACAGCTGCAACATGACTTCCCAGCTCCTATATTCAAGGCACTCACCAATAACACAAGCATATCAAATGCATTTTTCACTACCTTGTCAACCTGTGACTCCACTTTCAAGGAACTATGAACCTGTACTTCTAGGTCTCTTTGTTCAGCAACACTCTCCATTGAAAAAATTTTAAATGCTGGTTAAATCCTGCAGAGCTTTATCCAAACTTTTACTTACTAGTTTGCCATAATTAAACACTTCTAACCCTTGGAAAATGTCAGGATTAATCTCATTTTTAACCCTTAAACAGCATTGTCTCATTGTACCCCAACTTTCCTTGTTAAATGGTGTTTAGATTTCAGTCTTTAGAATGAGAAGCTATTGCAGCCTACTGCATTCTTCATTGTATATCTGTTTTTGAGCCGTAATTGGAAAAAATCTTCAGTAACTATCTTTGGAACTTTTACTTTTTTTTAAACTCAGAATTGATTGTTCTTGCTCACTGGATGCTTCAGTGTTTTTTACTTCATCTTTTGTCACCCACCATTTTGGAATACTTCAATGACCTTTGATACTTCTGTGGCAGTACTGCTACAATATCCTCCTAAGTTAATGCTGTGAACCAATAAACATAGAATAGGTTGTGCTGAGACTCCTTGAAAGGTCTCCAACCTGAAAGATTTCTCTCTCCACATCTCTCTTTGGTAAGCTCCTCAGCTGACATCTGGAGCTCAGTGTGCAGGCTGTCATGAGATGGTTTGCTAGCACCCCCTACACACCGAGCCAGTATCTACTCTAACAGAAACAGAAAGTGCTGAACGGAAGCCTCAAAACTTAACTGTTTCTCTCTTCACAACCAAATTTGCAGACCATATTAAAGTAGGTGAAAAAGCAGGCTGCAAGAGGGATCCAAATAGTTTGGTAAGTTAACTAAGCAGTCAAAAGATTTGTAAACAGAGTATAATGTGGAAAAATGTGAAGTTCTTCCTTTTCCAAACCTTTTCCTGCACCGTCCACCCCTCTTGGCCTTCCCTCAGTCCACCTCCCAGAAGGCCTGCAAGACTCCCCTTCCCCTTGCTGTTGCCAGCCAGCCTGGATCCAAGCTCCCTGTCCTGCAACATGGTGACTCAGCTCCCACCCCAGTCTGCTGGGCAGCCAACTTCCAGAGTGCAGAAGGAGGACGGGCCACATCAGGGTGCCACGGTGCTTTCAGGGCAGGGCGGGGGATGGTGAGAAGCCACTCAACACCCCTTCCCTCACAGGCATCTGGCCAACACTGGCCAGATAAGGAGCTGCCCACCTCCCACACCATGAAGGCTTTGGCCCAGTCGGCATCACCGGGCCCTCAGGCCCATGTTTATCAGAAGGCTGAGAGGGTCAAGCCCCCCTCACTCAGTGTCAAGTGCTCCTCCGTGAAAGTCACAACCCACTCACTGCTCACCCAGGCCTCTGGTGACCAGAAGATGGACAAGGAACTCTCAAGTCTACGAAGTGTATTCTGCTCCGTCAGTAAAGCCAACACCCCTTCCCGGCCTCTATCCAGCCTCTATAAGATGCCTGTGGTGCATGGACTACTGGAGCACCCTAGCCTGCCTGACCCAGGCTCCCTGGTGTGGCCTTACCTCCCACTGGCTTGCAAACATCCTCCGGCCTATGACGGTCTCAAGCCTAGCTCAGCCCAGAAGGTCTGCCCTGCCGTCTACCATGCGACAGTGAAGACCCAAAGACAGGATAGAGCCCCAGCCTTCACCAGCATCTGCTGCCCACGTTCAGTCACCAACTCAGAGGCACGGAGCCCCCCGGAGAGGCTAGCTCCGGGCACAGTTGACAATGAAATCTGCCATGTAGCAGGAAGGCACAGGACCCAGAAGGTAAACTGACCTGGGAAAGGTTTGAGTGTTTTGAACACTGTTGAGGGAGGTGGGGTGCAATTAGACATGGGGATTAAGTGGCATGACCCTAAGGTTGATTGGATTGATATTATTTGATATATTAATGTCATGTGTACTGAGAGTACAGTGAAAAGTGTTGTCTTACGTGCTTTACAGGCAGATTGTACTATGCGAGTGCATCAAGATAACAGAACAGAGTGCATGATATGGTGTTACAGCTGTTGAGATGGTGCAGAGAGGGATCAACATTAACATTTTGAGAGGTCTGTTCAAAAGTCTGATAATAGCAGGGAAGAAGCCGTTCTTGAACCTGTTTGTTGGCGAATAGAAACCTTCTGCCAGACAGAAGAGGGTGGAAGAGAGTATAACTGGGGTAGGAGAGGTCTTTGATTGTGTTGGTTGCTTTCCTGATGCAAGCAGAAGTCTAGATGAAGTCAATGGGTGGGAGGCTGGGCTGTGTTCACAACTCTCTATAGTTTATTTTGGTCTTAGGAAGAGTAGTTGCCATACCACACTGTGATGTACCCAGGTAGGATGCTTCCTGTGGTGCATCAATAAAAAAATTAAGTCTTTATGGACATGCCAAATTTCCTTAGCCTCCTGAAGAGCTAGAGGCATTGCTGTGTTTTCTTGGCTCTAGCATCAATGTGGGTGAACCAGGACAGATTGTAGATGATCAACACTCACAGGAACTTGATGCTCTCGACCACCTCCACCTCAATAGCAGTGATGCAGGCAGGAGCATGCCCTCCACTCTGCTTTCTGAAGTCAATGACCAGCTCCTTTGTTTTATTGATGTTGATGGAGAGATTGTTGTCTTTACAATATGCTGTTAAGCACTTTATCTCCCTCCTGTACTCCATCTCGTTGTTTGAGATCGGACCTACAACAATGGTGTCGCCAGCAAACTTGTAAATGGAGTTGGTGTGGAATTCGGCCACACAGTCGTGTGTGTATATGGAGCATAGTAAGGGGCACCGGTGTTGAGGATTATCATGGAGGAGGTGTTGTCACCTATGCCTTACTGACTGGTCTGTTGGTTCTCTCAAAATCAAGAATCTAATGGCAGAGATAGGGAGCGGACAGCTGGGTGCCAGAGTTTGGAGATAAGTTTGTTTGCAATTATGATGTTGAAGTCAGAGCCACAGTAAATAAGTCCAAAACTGATGTAAGCATTCTTATCCAGGTATTCCAGGGGTGGATGTAGGGCCGGGGAGATGGGCTCTGTTGTGGACCTGTTATGCCATAGGCAAATTGCAAGGGACCAAGGCAATCTGAGAGGCTGGAGTTGTTTGTGAGCCAAGACCAGTGTTTCGAAGCACTTCATAATTATGGATGTTAGAGCCACCAGGCAATAGTCATCGAGGCATGCCTTTGGCAGTGGGATGATGGTGGTCTTCCTGAAGCAGGTGGGGACTTCAAGTCATAGTAAGGAGAGGTTGAAGATG